CCTTCAGCCTATCCCTCGCCCTATGGATGTGCACACACCCTGTGGTACTTGCTGAGTCCAGTCTGTCTGTCTCTTCTTTCTGCATCGAGTCTCTTCTGTCTAGGTGATAGTACTCTGTGGATGAAGGATAGGCCTTGTTGACCAAACCCCTACTGGACCTAGTTGGGCTAAAGACTGTGTCTGACGACTCGACTGTCCCGGAGGCCTTACCCTCCCAAGGACCGGTACAAACCGGCGGGCTGCTCGGTGTGGCACGGTAGGCCCGAAAGGCTGAGTTGTGGGCTGCGCAACAGGCAGTCTAAGTGTTGAGAGACCTGCTGATCGCGTCATCATGTTTGCGACGTTAAATAATTCCTGAGGAGTTACGGGGGATCTCCTTAAATGCCTCCTGATCAGCAACAGGTCTAGTAGTGACAGCCATAGTGTAGGTCTAGGCTAGAGACCCTAGTTGGCAGGATCCCTGTCAGGATTCTATGAGTCTTTAGATCGAGTCAGTAAGTTGTCAGTTAGGGGTTAGAGTCTACGAGGTGAGGTTTGGAACCGTAATTCGGTTGTGCACTATCACCATGGTTGACACCCGGAGTGGGTTGAGTACTAGCCCCTATACCCAGGAGCAACAAGAGAAGATGGCCGCCTTAGTGAGAGAGAACAAGGAGAGGAAAGAGCTCCTGAAACAGGCGAAGCTGAAGGCAATCGCAGAGGAGCAGGCGGCGAAGATGAAGGAATTGGAGGAGGAGATGGAGAAAAAGAAGAAGGCTGCTGAAGAAGAAGCGGCAGCAGAGGCAGAGGAGGAGAGAAAACGCAGGGAAGAAAAAGGAGAGAGTAGTGGCACGACAAATGAGGAGGTAGCCATGGAGAAAAAGATCAGCGGGTGGATTGCTAATTTATCGTTGGGGGAAGATGAGGAGGCAGAGTTTTATGTGCCCCAGGACGAGAGGGATGCGTTAGCCAGTGAGTTAGCAGCAATGGAGGACCCCCTGGAAAGACAAGAAAGAGAGGAGGAGAAAAAGTTGGAGTGGAAATTGAGAATGAAGAGGGAAAAGAAGAGGAGGGATGAAGTTAATAGGTTGACCGCAGAGGTGGCGAAAGTGAAAGATTGTAGGCAGGAGGTGCAGGCTCAGGCAGACACCTTAGCCAAAATGGATAAGGTGTTGGGGTACCGGGAGGTGTTGAGCGCGGCTTGGATGGAGGAACGCCAAGCCAATAGGGCTCACGAGGTAGCCCTGAGTGCCATGCGGTCAGGATTCAGGGATTTTGCGCGCGACCTAGGAGAAGTCTGGCGGTTGAGAGACAACGTAGGGAAGTTATGTGAGGGCGCCATTGAGGGTGCCAAAGCAGTAGCAGCCGTTGAGAGCGAGGGCAGACCCCGCAAGGACCCAGTCAAGCTTAAATTCCCAGATGCGTATGGAGGGAAAAAGGAAGAAAATTTTGATAACTGGGAGGCTAGTGTGAACAGTTATGTATACTTGCAACGTATCCTGACTGAGGAGCAAGTCCTCGTCGCCTTCCAGGCCCTTAAGGATGAAGCGGCTAGTTTTGCCAGGTCCCTAACGTGCGCAGCCGGTTGTGAAAACAACCTGGTTGCATACTCCAAGGTTACCCCCCTTCCTCACTTCTTCAAGCTCCTGAGGGAGCGATTTGCTGACCCAACGAGAGGCGTTAGGGCCTCTGACAAACTGCAAACTATCCGCTCGCGACAGCGGAGGAGTGCCAGAGCACTCAAGGGCGTCATGGACGACTTGGTAGCCGTCCGAGGCCATGGGGTCATTGAGCCCCAGTTGGTCCAGTTATTTTATCGTGCCATGCCAGAGCCCCTGAGAGGGCATTTCTTTGATAGATCTGAACAGGCCGACATCACCTATGATGTACTGAGTAGAGAGGTGGTCCTGTTCGAGTCAAAGTCCATGCCAGTTTCCACTTTCTGGCACAAGGACTTGGACAAAGGAAAAAAGTGGAAGGGTCGTACCATCTCTGGCCAAGTGAGGGCCAAGGATCATATGGTCCTCACGTTAGAAGAGGGTGGTACAGATGAGATCCCCTACAGTGAGATTGAGTGGGGGTTAGAGGAAGATGACAGCAGCATAGGGAAGGGGAGGTCTTATGCGGCTGTCGCGGTTGGAGGGAGGCCGCAAGGTAGAGGAGGAGGCCAGGGCCAAAGGGGTCAGGCCATGGGAGGCCGAGGACCGGGCGCACAGGGGGTTGGCGGACAAGGAAACCGCCAAGTGGGAGGTGGGGGTCAAGGTCCCACGTTGAATCGTCAGGGTTCTTGTCGGTCCCCACAACGACGAGGTGGAAGGTCACCTCAAGGATGGTGGCACCTAGGCTTGCCACAGGGCAGGCCCTGAGAAGACTTGGGCTTGGACCAGCGCGTATGGCAGGAACGCGTGAACTTGGGTCAGTGCGTGTTTTGTGGTGACCCGGCCCACGTAATTAAATTTTGTCCTCAGTACAGACAGGCCCGATGGGCTGCTCAGCAGTCAAAARGCAGCCGCCAGTAGGGGTCGCAACTGCCCCTACTTCAAGGCCATGTGGGGAAGCGAGCGTGCGCGAACAGGAAACTCCCAAACCACATGGGCCTACGACAGAGGTTGCAGGCCCGTGCCTAGCTAGCTGTCCAGAGACTGCTTGTGTTAGCGTCTCTCTAGGCACGTCCCTCACAGGTGTGGCAAAAGAGTTGAAGGAGAGGATGCCAGCCTGGGCCAAAATGAAGAAGGAGAGTAAGGGACAACTGATCTTGGTAGATGTAGAAGTGTTTAGAAGCAGAGTCGGGGCCCTTATAGACTCAGGGGCCGCCCACAGTTACATTGGCCGTAGGGCGCTGAAGAAGCTGAGGCTAGGATTAAAAGTCCAAAAGTTGGCAGACCCCATAGTCAGTGTCCTAGCAGACAACCACACAATGCGAGTTGAGGACTACGTCGAGGGAGTCCAGGCGTACTTTCGCCTAGAGAAGGATGGGAAGGTGGAGAAAGTTCTCCATTCCCTGACTCTCCTCATACAGGATGACCTTCCTTTTGACATAGTCTTAGGAATGGATTGGGGAGAGGCAGCAGGGGCCACACTCCACTTGAGAGAGCATGAGTGTAGGCTCCCTAGTCCTTCAGGGGAGGTTAAGACTGCCCGCCTGTTTCATGTGTCAGGTGTAGACAACCCTCTGGCACATTGCTATCTCAGTGCTCCTGCGTTCGCGCGACTAGTGAAAAAAGAGCAGTTAGAGGATCAGGTCTTCGTAGTGTATGTGAGGCCTGTCACTGAGGCTAAGGAAGGAGATAGTTCCACAGACCCAACCATTGCCAAACTGCTGGAGGAATTCAAAGATTTGACTGAGTCGCCAACAGGAGTCCTGCCGCCACCCATCCAGCACAGGATAGAGATAGAGCCTGGCAGTAGGACTCCTAAGGGAGCAGTCTACAGGATGTCCCCTAGAGAGTTAGAGGAGCTACGCAAGCAATTAGACGAGCTCCTCGAGAAAGGTTGGATCAGGCCCAATTTGTCTCTTTTTGGAGCACTAGTCCTGTTTGTCCCCAAGAAGGAAGGAGAGCTCCGTGTGTGTATAGACTATAGGGGTTTGAATGCGATTACTGTGAAGAATGTTGAACCGCTGCCCAGGATAGATGATCTTCTAGATCGGGTGCAGGGTTGTAAGTATTTCTCTAAGATAGATTTGAAGTCCGGATATCATCAAATAGAGGTCCATCCTGATGATCAGTACAAGACTGCGTTCCAGACTAGATATGGGCATTATCAGTTCATAGTGATGCCCTTTGAACTAACCAACGCGCCAACTACCTTTCAGCATTGTATGAATGATCTGTTTAGACCTTGGTTAGATAAGTTTGTAGTAGTTTATCTAGATGATATATTAGTTTTCAGCAGGACCCTCCAAGAGCATCAGGGTCATTTGAGGCAAGTCTTGGAGAAGCTGAGAGAAGCTAACTTCAAGATTAATGCGAAGAAGTGCGAGTGGGCCAAGACACAGGTTTTGTACTTGGGCCACGTGTTAGACGGAGATGGCATTAAGCCAGAGGACAGCAAGATAGTGGCAATTAGAGACTGGCCAACGCCCCGCAATTTGACTGAGTTGTGGTCGTTCCTAGGCCTAGCTAACTACTATAGGAAGTTCGTGAGGAACTTTTCCACTATCGCCGCTCCCTTGCGCAGGTTGCTAAAGAAAGAGGCAATCTGGCAATGGGACAAAGACTGTGCGTCTGCGCTAAAGTAGTTAAAGCGCGCATTGATAGAGTACCCTGTCCTCAAAGTAGCTGATCCGTCTTTGCCATTTGTCATCACCACGGACGCAAGTCAGTATGGTATAGGCGCCGTGTTACAACAGGACGACGGCAATGGCTACAGACCCGTAGAGTTCATGTAGCGAGGATGCCCTCAGAGAAGGTTGCCACCTCGACGTATGAGAGGGAACTCTACGCTCTCAGGCAGGCCTTAGAACACTGGAAGCATTACCTGCTTGGGAGGCACTTCAAAGTATACGCAGACCACGAAACTCTTAGATGGTTAAAGACCCAGGCCAAGATGACACCTAAGCTAACTAGGTGGGCCGCTGAGATAGACCACACGGCCAGAGCCAAGTCATGGTCATAGTTGACCGATTTAGCAAGTATACTGTTTTTGTTCCCTGGCCTGCAGAGGCACGTACGGATTTAGTTATACAAAAGTTCTTTGATTTTTGGGTTAGTGAGAATGGAGTCCCGTTGTCAATAGTTAGCGATAGAGATAGTCGCTTCACCAGCCAGAACTGGCAAGAACTCATGGGAGTTTACGGATCTAAGTTGTTGATGTCATCTGGCCGCCACCCAGAGACCAACGGTCAGACCGAGCAAATGAATAAGATCCTACAGCAAGTTCTGCGCATGTACATTAGACCCGACCAGATCAACTGGGACGAGATGTTACCTAAGGTAGCTAGCGCATACAATAACAGCATGCATCTGTCCACCTGTCGCACTCCCAATGAGCTGCACAAGTCCTTTAGACCGCGCAGACCATTTGAAGGACTGAACCGGGATCAGGTTCACAGGCTACCGTCCGGTACCAGGGAGTTTGCGATACGGCACGAGAAAGAATTAGCTACCGTTGTTGAAAACCTCAAGAAGGCTCAGCACAGAATGATAGAACAGGCTAATAAGCACCGTCGCCCATCGCAGTTTCAGGTAGGCGACTTAGTCTGGGTCAAGTCTAAAGAATTTGCACCTGAGGAGCACATCTCGCAGAAGTTGCTACCTGCATATAGAGGGCCGTGGCCGGTTCTAGAAGTCAAGGGCGGAGAGGATGGACCGTCCTACACAATAGAGTTCCCTTCAAGAAGATCCATGATCCCGCCGGATATGGATGGAAGATATGACATTGACGACATTGTAGATGAAGATGTGTTCAGGACAGGAGGTAGAGGTCGCCCACAAAAACAGTATAAGGTCTGGTTTGCTTATCAGGAACCGGAAGACGACCGCTGGTTTACTAGAACAGAACTTCTAGAAACAGCTCCCGACATATTCAGAGCGTATGAGCGTGATAAGAAGGGTAAAGGTCCTGCCTTAGACTGAAATATTCTCGGAGGACCTCGAATTCAGGACGCCGGGAGTGAAATGGTTTTCACCTCTTTGCAGTAGCAGATGCAAATCCCAGGGCTCGATCCCTGGACCTTGCCCTACCTATGTACAGTACCTGTGTAGACCCCGAGAGTTGAACCTGTGACCTGTGTATTCGTAAACAGTTGGTAGGCTGTCATAGGTCCGTAGGTCGGAGGGGTTCGCTCTGTAGATCTGTAGAATAGAAGTCTTAGCGAGTTCCAGAAGTCTTAGTTGTAGCCCTTCGAGAAGGTCAGCAAGTGGGCAAGTGGTGAGTCAAGTAGTGGACTAACTGCAGTGCAATTGCAGTACAACCTCGGTAGGTTAGCAGTGAGTCCCCATTCAGTCAGCGGTAAGGTCCAGTCAGTCCCAGTCCGGTCCAGCAAGTACCACAAGGGACTGTGAGCACCATGGGCCGATGGGAAAGGGCAGACCAACGAGTTTCAGATGTATAAATCAAGAGGCAGCGCCTAGCCATTCATTCATTCCTGTGTGAGCCATGCNGTATAAATCAAGAGGCAGCGCCTAGCCATTCATTCATTCCTGTGTGAGCCATGCGGAAGCGCTGCCACAGCGACTTGTGCAAGGAGGTCTGCAGTGAGCCCGGAGCTGAAGTGGGCGAGAGAGAAGGAGCGTAGCATAGCGATAGGGTAGTTGCGGCCATAGCCGCCATAGCTAGAGTTAGTATGTAGTGTGTGTATGTGTGTGTGAGTGCTGAGTAACGCGTGTGGGATATCCAGGGTGATCTGGTGTATGTGAACAGTGAGTTGTTTGGGCGCCGAGTCGCCATAGCCAATTGAAAGTGAACACATATCTGGATGCCATATCTCTGAGTTTTGAGTGGGCGCATGTCGCCAGTTTGCTGCACTACTGTTTACATGCATGAAAAGTGTGAATGAGAGCGAGTCTGATTCCATAAGACTAAACCACAGTAAAGCCTAAACCATCATAAGAAACTCAGAAATAGTCGTCACTCAGGGAATGCATTGTATAAATTTAACGAAGTACTGAAGGTATGCAAGTCTATGAATGTGTCATGAGTGCTGCTAATTATGAGATTGGGTGGATGGTGGAACTGGGTACCTGTTAAACCTGCTGTGGGTGTTGCCAGGCTGATGGACGGGAGATTCCACATGGAATGGTGTTTGCCTGCTTTATGCTTTGTATTATGATGGGCAGCTGTCTGGCATCAGTTCTAATGTCAGGAAGGAATAGGGTTGCCCCAGAAGATTACCTTCGGAATGTGCTAGTCTTGGCTGCGGTGATGATGATTGTTCCTGCATTAACGCAGGTAAGAATCTTTGGCTTACATTTCGCAGCTCGTCTTGTCTTTTTGTCAATTTGTCAATTTGTGGATTTAATTTTCTTTTTCCCTTGTTAAAAAAGAAATCTTTTTAAAGGGGTGCAGCCAATAACGTGATGGTGTCAATTTGAATTACTGATAATTTGTCAGACTGTTTACATGTGTGGCCCATCCAGTCACTTGACAGGTACTTGCTCTCCTTATCTTCTTTTGTCTCCCCCTCTTTGTGTTCTATCTCCTAACTCCTTCCTCTCTCTGTTCCCTCCTTCTGTCTCTCACATGCACGTGCGCTGCATGCGGGTTTCTTTTTTTCATGTGTGAGTCTCGCAGATATATTCTTCCTTATCATCGTTCTTTCTCTCTTACTCTGGCTCCGTCCTTTCTCCCCCCTCCTCTGCCTTTTCCACCTTTTCTGTTGGAGCCTTGGAGGTATGATCTTGCTGAATTCTGAGAGTGCAACTGTCCTGCCAACCCTGTTTTTCACCTGACCCTCTGTGTGAGGACAGTGTCCTATCTCATTGCCGCTGTGCGATCATACTCGTCAGCCCCTTCCTTTTTCTCCTTCTGTGCATATGGTCCATTTATCTGGAGTTTACAAGTTTGTGTAACTATGCTTGCATGCGCTTCGTAAATCATCGCACAAAGAGTGACTGGCTAGTTCTTTAGGAAGTACAGTGATTGATTGACTCTTCACTGAAGTCTGTGCAGGTCATGTTCATGGAGTGACATATTCGTCGCACAACAACTACGGAACATACTTTAAAATCGGAACGATACAGAGAAGAATAGCATTTTCTCTGTGCAAGGATGACATGCATAAATTAAGTACTGGTCCTTTTTTTTCGAAGGAGGGAAAAAAGGGAAAAAAAAAAGATGCCATTTATGGAAAAGGGAAAGATGCCATGATGTTATATTCTGACTCTGTCACAATCTTGCAGCATGATTGTCATGCTGACAATGTCCATTGGCTTTTGGGAAGATGTTGGGTTTGTGAATTGATTTGCATCCTCACTGTTAATTTAGTGTTTGGTGATACCCCTCTAGAGCGTTTTGTGCATTTTCTGGCCTGAAGTACACAGTCTGATGGTTTTCAGGCTGGACGAGCAATCACTCCATGCTAGGATTGGCTTCACTTATTTAAAAGCCAAAAAATATGGAACATGCATCTGATACCCCAACCAATCTCAAATCTCGATAGCTTATGGTTTCATCTGTCTTGCGTTTCTCGCTTTTCTCTGCCACCATTCCACAGTCACTGCCTTTGAAGATATACAAATATTTATGCAAGCCATGTTTAAACAAACCTCAACAGTTATATGGCAGTCAAATCTCAGAAGCAAATACGGATTATATGGCGCAATGCGGGAGTTATCATATTCACTCACATCCTATATCAGCTTTGTTGCCCCCCATCACCAGCCCGTCTTCATTTGTACGTAGGGTAGTGTTCATCGTCCATCGGAACTGTTTCCTAACTGAATGGTTTTGGAAAGCCTCATGTGCAGTTGCCATCTATGGTGCAAGATGTGCAAGGTTTCCTTTTCCATCATTTAGAGTGCAGCATGGAGTTCACAACTCTTGTTTGAAGTTCTCCATCTGGGCTCTCAGCTGGTGCCAGGCAATCTATATCATCCGGCGTGCGTGGTTTATCTTTTTCATCAGAACGATCAACATGTGTTGCATCTGTGTAACATGCCGTAGGTTGTACGGGGCTCTGGTCGTACGGCCGTATGAACGGTCCCGTACAAAATGATGCCCCCCCCCAAAAAAAAAACGAAAAAAAAAAATGGGGATGTATGCAATCAGACTCGTTTTCAAACACACTTTTCACACATGTAAACAGTAACGCAGCACACTGGCAACATGCGCCCACTCAAAACTCAGAGATATGGCTTTCAGATACGAGTTCACTCTCAATTGGCTATGGCGACTTCAGCGCCCAAACATCTCACTGTTCACATACACTGGATCACCCTGGATATCCCACAC